TGAAACGTTACGGAGATATTTAAGAGGATATTTTTTGTATGTTACGTAACACCCGCTCAAAACTAATGAGTGTAATATACCACTTGCTCTTATAACTACATATCCAAAATTTTTATTTTTCGATACGTTTCTCAATCGGCAAACAAACTTAAAAAGAACGTTTGGTCCTTTTTCTGTAAAATAATACCAAAATGAAGAGATTTTAGATGGTACGCTATTACGCCAAAAAGATGATGTCTGAAGTTCAGATGTCAAAATGATGTCTGAAGTTCAGCAAGTTTGGCTTATACTTGCTGTAAATATGGCGTCACTTTTAAAGCGTCATTGACAATTGTATTTTATTTGACAATCTTTTTGTAATATTATACCTCAAATTCAAATTGTCCAATGAAAAAACAGCATTTGTACCACGTGGTAGTGTGATTTTTTACGGTATTTCACTCAAATTCATGATTTCGCAATCCAGCGTGGGATACTATAATATCCCACGGCAGATCCACCGTGGGATATTATAGTATCCCACGCCCACGCGCGACGCGTGGACACCACGCTCTGAATTCTGAAACAATATGGCGTTCGCGAGCTCGTACAGAACTACAGAAGATTTTAATATTAAGTAAACCAAATATTTCAACACGTATGTTACTTTCAACGATCCAAAGGATACTTGCTCAAATATTTTAAGGAGAAAACGTCAAAAACTCAGGTATAGATAAGAAATTAAAAATTGTATTCGCGTAGTTATTAATATTCAGCAAGTTTTAAAGTTTATTCGGAATTTGATAGACTTTTAGTGAGTTCTTTAACTTTCGGTATAATATATCATTTATAGACCCCCGCTCGGGAGATTCGGCGATATTTCCCTCTGTGATGATATTTTCCTCGGGGCAAAGCCCCTCGGAAAATATCATCACTTCGGAAAATATCATCACTTCGGGAAATATTACGCCGAATCCCCCTCGCTCCGGGTCTATAAATGATAATTATTTCATGTTTCTCAACCGGCAAATGCATTTAGAAAGGCAGCTAACTGTATAAACTACAGAATATAGCTAAAACAAAGCAATTTTGACAGGTACGCCAAAAAAATTTCGGTTTTGAACACTTTCATCGCAAATACGTGACATAAAAAAATGCCGCTTAACTATAAGGAAAAACTACCTACATTTGGGAGATAGTATTTTAGCTGGGATTTAAACAAAACATAGGGCGGCCATCTTGGATTTTAAAAACAGTGTTTTTGCTTGTAACGAGAGAACTACTTAGTCTTACAAGACAAGCAACATATCCAAAATTAGGCCTAAGTGCAAGGAATCCTCCTAGCTAACCTAACTTACTGTAACGTTAAATATATTTTTCAATAAAAGTAAAAAATGTATTTGAATTCGATCGAGATAAATATGATTGATTTCACTTCCAGTTTTTGTTATTCCTTTATACATTGGAAAATTATCAACGAGACAAAGCAAAAAGCATATTGGTAGTTCCAACAGGTTGTCATGCATCAACCGACATGATTTTCAACAAAGCCAATTGTGTTGTCTTGTCGATCATTCGATAATTAGTTATCAACAATAAAGAAAAATACTAACATAAATAAGTCATCTGCACATACATCCCCCCCCTCCCGTGGAACATATAATCAATGAGAAAAAAAAGCACATTGATAGTTACGGCAGGTTGTCACGCATCAACCGACATGGTGTTCAACAAAGCTAATTGTCTTGTCCATCATTCGATAATTAATTATTGTCAAAAATAACGTAATTATTAACATAAATACGTCATTTCCATATACAATTCCCCCGCGTTCAACACAATTTTAACAAAAAATATATATAAAATATGATCACACATACCTGACGTTGAAGATAAAAACAAGAGCAATAACCAAAATACCCAACAGAAGGAGTAAAAACCAGGAGAATGTAAAGTGGATTGTTTCAGGGCAAGGTGCAATCGAACCGTCGCCGAATAAATTAAAATAATTACATAAATTACCATATTAATGATTGGCATTAAGCCATAACTTTGGTGCGTTAAGGGCGTTTTGCTTCAAACTTGGTACGTGTGTGGGGGCAAACTGCAACATTCGAAAACTAGCTTTTAATAGTGGCAAATAGTCAAGTTCATTGCGTAGATTAGTTTTGTTTGATATATCTTTAAGATAAAATAGGTTCTTCATGGTGAAAAAGCGTACAGAGAAGTAAAAATATGGCGTTTTTGGCCACGTTTTTCTCTGAGCTGGAATGAGTTCTGTAAATTATTTTTGCTTTTTCTGGAACTCCTCTTCAATGACTATCTGTGTGCAAAATTATTTTGGAAAATATTGACGTTGCTGATCCATATTGCATTTTGACTCTGACCTGAAACTGTATACAATACATGAATGCAACAAAACAACAAAAAATGTCCAATGAAAACGCAAAACACTTTCATAACTTGAATAATTCAAAATCATTTCAATGTTTGAAGTTTCATCATCTTGCAAAATTTATTACATACATGTTTGTCTACAAAACGCCTTGTCACAGGATAGCGAACATTTAGTTTTAGAGGAGTCAAATTATGGAACTCATTGTTATCAGAGTTCAAATCAGAGAAATCACTTCAATCTTTTAAACATAAACTATATAAACAATTACTCAGTGAATATGAGTAATTCTAGATGAGTATATAACTTTCTTATTAATCATATTGTAATATATTTTCTAAATTGTATCACTGAAAAGCCCTTTTTAGGGAGTGGTATTTATTAAAGTTTATGAAGTTTTATGAAGTTTATGCTTATAGTTGAAAGGTTGCGAGCACAAAAATATACCTCGTGTGATGTGTCGTTTGTCTCCATAAGGTCTGTAGTCACAATTTCAGCGTCATACAGTTTATACCCTGAACCTTGAATATCTAAGACCATCAATCTCTTCTCAAAATACATATAGGTGATATGAACTAGGCATTGTGCTTTCTGGAGGATCTCATCAGATTCTTTGTCATCAGGTTCCAATATGTCTCCATCATTGTTCATGTACCTAGAGAAGACACCTGGTACATATTCTTCAACAGTAACAGGACATTCATTTCACTGCCAATAAAACACTTTGCCATACTGGAAAGTTTCTCCAAACTCTTCTGGGACTTTAGCAGAAAAACGTGCCGTCAAATTTCGTGCAACATGATGCATTTGTACCTGCTTTCTTGTGTGGTCTCCCACCGCTATGTAGCGTAGTGATAAAAATACTTAAGCTGTGCATTCTTTAACTATACAGTACACAACTGTGTACCGTGTGACGTCACCGTTAGATCAAGGCGCTCTACAGTCGCTGTTGGGCTGCGTTTGTTATAAAAAATCTGAAAATAGTGAGCGGTTCGGATGCGCATACACTAAAGTAACTCTATAGTACGTCTGTTATATTTAGTGAGAATTTGGTTCTACACTTAAAGTACTTTTGTTGAAAACTCGTCTTACTGCGTCTGCATAATTAGTTCAGTAAAGCATATATCATGGCCAAAACCGCTCGCGCACAAAATTATAAGTATTCTTTAAAAACAATTAAACCAGTTTAAACAATCTATTTGTTATCCTAAAGCAATGACAAGATCAAAAATTTATAGTAAAAGGCCTGCTTTGGGTGAAAATTTTCGATTTTTTTTAGGTTATTTTCAGACTGTCTGAAATTATCAAATATTTCAAGCCGTCCGATTTCATGAATTAAGGCTCGATCCAGTTTGGATTTTGTTTAGGAAAAGGAGCAAACAATTAGTAAATCAGGTAATATTTAGTTTGCTTACTTTCCGATCTATATGTTAAGTGTAATCTATCACATTACATGTCAAGTAGCTTTTTACGTATATTATCGGGATATAGTACAATTACAACTTATGCCCGGTATTGATAAAATTTGCAAGCGATTGTTTTTATAATATGTTATGTCAACTTATGTGAATGTAACTTCCAGAAGAATACGACAACATGATTTTATGCGATCTCTGTGGGCAATGGTCCACTTTAGATGTGTAGAATATGACACTAGTCTAAGTACCTCAAATGAGTGGTTATGCAGACTGTGCACACCACCAGCTGCTAAGAAGCTTAAAATGTGTATGTGATTTTGTCTCCTTGTAATAAATAAATAAATCACACAATAAATCTTTTCAACTTGCAATCGTTTTGTTCTTAGATCAAAAATTCAAAATTTATATGGGGGGGGGGGCGAAATTCCTAAAGGGGGGTGATATTCCTAGGAGATTCGCCCCCCTGGGGGGCGATATTCCTAGGAGATTCGCCCCGGGGGGGCGAATATCCTAGGAATAACGCCCCCCTTTTGAGAGGGGGGGCGAATCTCTTGGGGGGGGGGGCGAATCTCCTGTGACACCGGAATAAATCATAGCGTTTAAATGTTCCTTGGAAATCACATTGAGTTGATAACCAGGGAGAGCTGCTTGGAACTTTTAGACTTCCGGGATGCCACAGGGACCAAGAGGAACACCTGCAGACGCGTGGAGTTCTTGGGCTAAACGATCTTGCAGTGTTCCAGTGCGACTAACGATACTCTTGTACTGCGAATCGTTATCCAATTTTGCTTTGGCCACCACAATCGCGCGGGCACAACAGAGATCATCTTTGTTTTTTATTTGAACTATGCCTCGTTTTTTCGTCAAGTAACTTTCCAAGTTCACAACATCACGCTTACGACCGGTGCCACCCTGAGGCATTTCGACATGGACCACGTTGACACTGACAGAGTCATCCAAAGAAAATTGGTCATTGAACTGCACGACGCGTTCGACAGCAGCCAAGAAACGTTCAGGCGTCAGACGATCGCGTTGTAAGAAAGGCAAGGAAATGGATTTGTCCAGCTGATCTGAGTTGAGGATCAAGCGAACTTGATCGTGAGGTGCCATGTCACTCGTGAGTCGGTCAAATAAGTGTTGAAATGCGCGGTTCAGCGTCGACATGACGTTTGACACCCCGTGCACGTCCAACGGATTGAATTGAACAGTATAGTGTGTACCTAAAAACCGTAATACACTATTGTACTAACCAAGTAATAGCAATCAGAAGACTATGATTGGTAACAAGTAGCCTTAAACACCCAATATTTCATGAGTCGTGTTTACAGTACAAGCCTTGCAATAGCCTTGGCCTACATTTTGACAGTGTAAACAGACTTTGGCCTACCTGGAAATCTGGGCTCACTGCAAGTGGTAGCCTAGACCAGGCCTGGCCTAGGCTTGTGGAAATGTAAACACGTTCGGCCTGGCCTGCGTCTTATTTTCGTGGCAACGTGTGTTCACAGTGAGAGATTAACGGACAACCAACGGACAACATGATTTATATATCTGATTGCAGTGAACGAACAAACTTTAAAACTATCACTCATTGGACATACAACAATAATTATTAGTATAGGTAATAGCATGGTTTCGAGTCCAATTTGGATATAACATGCACGAGTGAGTTTTTCAAAGACCTCAAAATAGCACGAGTCCGAAGGACGAGTGCTATTTGAGGTCTTTGAAAAACTCACGAG